CGGATCCGATCGTGAGCCGTGTTGATCGCGAAGGTGAGGCGCTCAGCAAATTCGTCCCAATCGTTCTGACCAAGATCGCTGACGTACATCTTGAGCGCTCTGGTCGCGGTCTGCACCATTCTCTCAGCAGTCCCGTTCGCCTGTGGACGATATGCCATCGTCGCCCGCTGCCGCTGTCTCAAAATCTTGTTAAACGCCCGGAAGAAATCAGACATGAAGCCGGGTTTCGATCATGTGGGATCATCTCACTGGCACCAAATCGGCGAAATACACACTCTTCGTACGATTCCGCAACCGTCTGGGCCGATCGGGACGAGCTGGCCTTCGCGATCACATATCCTGTGAACAGATCGACCCAGATCAATAATTCAGTGTTCCCCTTGTGGGATCTGGGTAGCGACGGTATGTGATCCATCGCAATGATCTAGAACGGGTACGTCGCCTGCAAGTTCCCCGGTGATTCGCCCCGGATCGCCGGTTTTCCTTTTCCTATCTCGCAATCCACACATTCCCCCACATATCGTTGGACGCTCCGGTATAATCCCCTCCAATGGAAGTGATCCCTGATCCGCTGGTAGGTTCGCCCCACTCCCTGATGTCCTCCTTCCAACGTGGTGTGATAGTGGTGTAATACGTCCGACTGTAGCGTTTCGGGGACTACCAATCTCATCAATCGGTCGCGATCGTCTCCCGATCTTGGCGTGGGGGGGGCAGTAAAAGAGTAGATCCTGCTCGTCTTCCTCGTAGTCGGCCGCGATCTTGCCATACGATCTTGCTTCCGCTTGGGTGAGATCTGCGATCGAGCCACTCAGGAACTTCTTCATGCCGGCGATCCAGACTTCTTCCTCCTGGGCCTGCTTAATCCGATCGACCCGGATCTCCCGGGTCAGATCCTCTTGCATGACACCCGCCGGTGATCCTGCCCGACCAGCTCGAATGGTCACCGCGGCAACTCGTACCACCGGATTCTCGGTCTTAGGGATCAAGATTTCGTCTAACCGGTTCAGGGTGACCGGATCTTGGTACCCGGGCATCTCCTGGACCTCGATCCCCCTTTGTCGTTGCAAAGCGGCGCTTGCTAGACTGTCGGCACTTCCGTTCCAGTCCCTCTTGACGTGAACCAACTCATGATCACTCCATCTCCTCAAGCGATCAAGGCTTTCCGTTTCAACAGCGGCAGTCCGGGCGCTTTGCAGTCGATCTCACCCCGTACTTGTCGAATCACCAGGTTAGAATCTCCGCAGACCACCAGACGTCTGCGATCTAAGCTTTCTAGCATGTCGAGCCCCAGGATCAGGCAGTTATATTCAGCTTCGTTCACGGTGAGGCTCTCGAGATAGCCGGATCTGGCCTTGACCACCTCCC